ATTGTTAGAGTATGTGTCCTAGAGCCAATTCATTATTGTAATATTGACTCTCTATAAGAATGTTTATAATCAATTAAAGGCTTTTTCTACATTGTGTAATTCGTATTATTGTATGTTATAATGTATGTCCTCAGATTGGTAGAACCATGATAAGGGTATCAAGTGTTTCGAATCTCGATAGTGAGGACCTTATGATCACATATGATGGCCATTCTAGAAATGTCCGTAGCCCCAGTATTATTTTGACTAAGGACATAGATAATACGGTAAGGCTATCATAGTGTTGAACGGCCCTATCGAAAGGCAGTGACTGATCTCACTTGTCAAGGTTGTTTGCTAACAACCTAGTGCAACACATGAGTGCTTGCTATAGGCGAGTTCACTGGATAGACCCAGTAGATGATTCCACATAGATGGTAACCTTAGTGTTTCCGGAATAAATTCTCTAACGAATGGTGGTGCATGTGATCCTTAGACTTGAGATCATCAGAGTGCCTTATGTACCAATTGGTGTAGTTTGACACTAGCCCAACATAGTTCTATTTAGGACTATCAGAACGGTAGTGACTGGCTTTATCGAGAAGTGCATCAAGACTACGGTGGATTAACAAAGGATTCATCATCCCTAGGTACAGACGAAATCATCTCACTGACCAATTTGATAAATGGCAATGACACTAAACCTATGGCCACAGTATGATTGAGTTGTAGCTCAATCCAATCTATTTTGTCGTTGGTCTAATAACCGGATATAAAGAGATCAAGGATATCTAAGGTTGACACTACTTCTGCACCTCAGCCTTGATGAGATAATGTATGAGGGAAGGATTTGATTGCACGATAACCATAGCGTTGATGAGTAGCTGTTTCACTGAATCTGAATCTACTGGGTCGCCATGATGCCTTGCTAGAGGCCAATCTTGGTCTGTGTTCAGTGAGACGATTGATTGAGTGTCAATCACGATACTACTCACTACAGATATGATGAGGAACCTTCGGGTCGCACACATAGACGACATATAAAGGATAAATAAATGAGAAGGGCATTTTCGTCTTTTAAGATGAAAGGGTATTTTAGTAATCTCACAATGCAATTAGATTTGCTGCGGTTGTTGCCTATATTTAATTTTATATGGAAATTAAAATAAGTGAGATTCTGCATGTGTGTGTGTGTGTGTGTGTGTGTGTACACTTTATATATGTGTGTGTGTGTGTGTGTGTGTACACTTTATATATGTGTGTGTGTGTGTGTGTGTGTGTACACTTTATATATGTGTGTGTGTGTGTGTGTGTGTGTGTACACTTTATATATGTGTGTGTGTGTGTGTGTGTGTGTGTACACTTTATATATGTGTGTGTGTGTGTGTGTGTGTGTGTACACTTTATATATGTGTGTGTGTGTGTGTGTGTGTGTGTACACTTTATATATGTGTGTGTGTGTGTGTGTGTGTGTGTACACTTTATATATGTGTGTGTGTGTGTGTGTGTGTGTGTACACTTTATATATGTGTGTGTGTGTGTGTGTGTGTGTGTACACTTTATATATGTGTGTGTGTGTGTGTGTGTGTGTGTGTGTATTTAAATGTTATATTATTAATTTGTATTAAATTGAAAATAATATTAATATTAATGAATATAATATAAATTCAAATTCAAATTCAAAATTAAAATACCAAGATTAGAATTCACCTTGTTTTGGTAATGGAATAAATCTAATCTAAATATGGAATTAGTAGATGGCTATTCCATATTAGATTAGGGTTTTAATTGTTGCACTATTTAAGTGCAACTAAAAATTAAAACAAAATAATTATTCAATCAAATAAACCCTAGCCACCCTCTCTCTCTCTCTCTCTCCCCCTCAAAACCATGAGCCTCATAGGTTGGAGAAGAGAAAAATTTTGCATTATTGTCCTTGAACTGGTCGGTTTAGCTAGCACATTAAACCCATTGGTGATCGTTGTACTGTCTTTGTGTGGATACCGCTTGTGCATTCCTTCCTTAGAGTGAAAGCGAACACAAATGAAATCGTTTGAAGGGGCCTCCAAACACCGGTGTGAACTTATACTTGTGTTTAATATAATTATATGCATGAATGATGTAATCAGGTATAAGGATCGTTGGGTTCAAATGTTTATGGATCAAACAATTTTTGTAATCCGTTGTATAAATCTAATCCATAAACCCACACTACGATAGAAAATGGGGACTATCTGTGTCCAGTTTCATGCCTGTCCTGTCGGGCCCAGAGTTCGTCGAGGGCTTTTGCAACGCATCCAGCAACTGGCCAACTCGATGGTTGCTTTCCATGACCTTGATATGGGTTCTCCAATTCTTTCGCATCGCATCGCATTTAAGTGGTCAGAGAGGTCTTCATGTGGGCATGTCCTCTGCTTGTTCTACTCTCTCCAACATGCCTTGGTGAGGGTTGATGCTTGAGAAGTGCGAGTTGTCTGCGTGAGGAGAAATTGCCCTTTCCTAGCATGGGTTATGACCAGCACACCAGTTATGGGCTCCTCCACAACGTGAGTCATTGTCAACACGTCGTTCGTAGGTGTCTTCAAAACGTGAGTTATACTCAACATGTTGGTTATCGACACTACGAGCGGGCTCTTGGCGCGAGCTATTACCATCACGCTTGGGGGAGTTTGGAATCTCATGCCCAAAGGCATCCTGCTGTCGTCTCTACTGTCAGAGATGTTCACTCATCGCGCTTGGAGAGCATTACATTATGTGGCAACCAGGGTTATTGGGTCCCCGCTGTCGCCATCTTGACAATTTTCTGTTGGACAGGGGTTGGGGCCCTTGGTGCCAGCACTAGGACGGCGTCTAAGCACTGCACTAGCGTTTAGAGCATGGTAGTAAGCATTCCGAGGATGTTCATTATATGTGGATCCGCCTACGAAACGGCTGATCTATCCTCCGATCCGAGTGGAGGAGGGACTGCCCTCTGGTAACTCGTAGAGGCCTCACCAACTTGGCTGGCAACAACTTTGTTCTTTGAACCGGCTCTGGTGGCATGAACCATGACTGATCTAGTACGATCCCGGAAAATTGAATAAGGTTTGCTAGAAAATCTAGAGAGGTTTGCAGGGGCCCTCCTTTTAGCCCCAAAATGTTGATGTTATGATTTGCACCGACAAGAAGTACGTAGATTCCATGATGAAACCTATGTAAGAGATTGTATGAAATCTGTGATCTGATACAGGATCAATGAATGAATGAAAGACACAAGCAACAAAAGATTTTTAAACTAGTTCGGATGCTAGGCACAAATTCTATATTCACTATTTTTATACTGCTTTTTTTTTTTTTTCAATGTGCAATTGTGGCTTGCATGAAGTATGAATGATACGTAAAAAAAAATTCCCCTAAATTCGGTGAAAAGTCAACTTATATACTGTTCCAATGACAAACTTATAAATAAAGTTAACCTAGGACTAGAGTCGGCGGTGCGTCGTGTCGTGCCTAAAAATTCAAAGCCCCTCATGCCGTGGGCTATGTCGTACCTTGCCCATAGAAATTTATGCCTTGTCGTGCCGTGCTAGCCTGCCAAATCTGAAGTCCCATGGCACAACCTGCTATATAGCGTGTTGTGCCGGGGCCATGCCGTGGGCCTAGCACATGGGCCAGCTCGCGTGCTTTGTGGGCCAGCCTACAATTTTTTTTAATTTTTAATATTTATAAATTATGGTTATTTTTATTTATTATTAATAATTATTATAAAACATTTTTCTATGCTATATTTAGTGACATTTTGTATTTCCATTAATTAAAAATATATATAATCACTATGAAATATAATAAGATAATGAGTCATTGAAGTATTAATTGAATTCCAACACTTTTTTATTGCTTATAATTGTAAATTACAAATAAAAACTTAGGAATTAGGATTAAGAATTAACATAACAATTATATCTCCATTACAAATACAAGTATACAAATACAATATAACTATCTCAACTTTTATTATAGGTTACAAATATTCAAAGTAAATGATTGATAAAAAAAATATCATACATCTTCATTTTCATTCATTTCTCTGAATATTTGTTAACTAAAATCAAAGTTGAGATTGTTATATTGTATTTGTATACTTGTATTTCTAATGGAGATGTAATTATTAAAGTTAATTTTTAATCCTAATTTCTAAGTTTGTATTTTAAATTTATAATTATAAGTAACACAAAGTGTTGAAATTCAATTAATATTTCAATGTCTCATTATTTTATTATATTTTATCGTGATTATATATTTTTTTAATTAATACAAATACAAAATGTCACTAAATATAACATATAAAAACATATTTTATAATAATTATTAATAATAAATCAAAATAACCAACAGTCGCATGTCTCTTCTAACAGGCTACGGGAGTAGAAAAATGGGAGAATTCATACGAGGACTATTCATCTTCCCATCTTCGTTTCCAAAAAAGAAAACTTGTGTCTAAAGAGGAGCTTCTTTTATCGCAATTTCCATTCTCTTTTGTAAGGTAAATCTCTTGTTTCTCTTCAAATTTTTTTAGTTCTCGCGTCTTTCTTTCTTTGGATTTCAAAAGTTTTAGGAACGATTTAGGGTGGTTTTCGGAATTTTCAGAGTGTTTCAGTGGTGAATAGGATGGGGTTTCTCGGAACATGGTTTTTGGCTTTGTTTTTTAAAACTCCCAGTGGATTTCAGTTGTGAGTGGCATCTATCTAGTGTATTTTTGTAGAGAAGAGAACACTTTGAGTAAGGCATGTTTTTTGAGTTGATTGGCTCCAACGAGTTGAGGTTTTCTTGGTTTCAAGGGAGTGAAGAAGAAGTCGAGTTACCCAATAACTTCATTCGGCTCGTCTCGTCTCGGTATCCTTATCTGAGCCAAGTGCCTTGCAGGTAAAAGAATTCAGGTTCACTTAGTCAGTCGGTTGATCTGCCAAACCGATTAAGATATCGTGGAAGGTATTTAAAGGTTTCATCAAATGTTGCACTCCGAGTCGAGTGAGGAGAATCATATGGAGAAGGATCCTTGGGCTACTGTGGTAGTAATACCAGAAGAGGATGATATGCTGGTGGGAATCCCGAAAAGGTTGAATGTGGCTATCTCTGAGCTAGGTGGAGCCATCGATTTGAGTAGTGACGGTTATGAGAGGCGGGGGACAAGTGGGTAAGATGCAGACGACGAGTCTATTAGCTTTGAAAGCGACACTTCGACTAGTGATGGGTCGATAAATAGAGATGGCAATGGGCCTCAGATTTTTGGGTACTTGGCCCGGCCCAGCCTGAGAAGGCTAGGCTTTACCCATAGGTGACAGACTTGGGCTTGATTTCAAGGCCCGACCACGGGTACGGGCCGGGTATGGGTATATCTTCAGTCCCGACCCACAAATTGTAGTGGCATTTTACTAATTTACCCTTATACTATATATTTAATTGCAATATTATCCTAAGTATATATATCTATTTTTCCCAAACCCTAACCTCTTTCTCATCCCATTCCCTAAACTCTCCCCACCTGCTGCCCTTCCTAACACATCTCTCTCTGACTCTCTCCATTTGCAATTCTGCAATATGCATCTCTATCGCCGCCGCCTGCTTAGATAAGTGAGACTCTTGACTCTTTTTTTTTTTTTTTTTTTTTTGGTGCTTTTCATTTGTTGTCGAAAATCTGTGGGTTTCGTTTCTGAGATGGTTTTTATTTTTGAAGTTCTGAATCTTTTGGGTTTTGGAGTGGAAGAAATTGAATGAATGAGTGTTTTGTTTGGGATGAAGAGATGTTGAAAGGTTGATGTTTTGAGCTGTTCTGGTTGTTTACGTGGGGGGGATTTCATTTTTTTTGACTGTATGGAGATGGACTCCCTTAAGACTTGTTTTAAACTTTTAATGGGGTTTTGGGTTAATTTAATTTCAGGAGTCTGTAGCTTTTCTTTTGCAGTTTCCAGCAGAGTTGCAGTCTGTGCAGAGTTGGGTGTACTGCAATTGAATTTGACTAGGGGTGGTTTATTTTTATAATGTAGAGGTTGGCAAGATTCTGATGGTAATACATCAAAATGCTGTCACATGTTCCCCCACTTCACAGAGTTTTGGCCCCAAGACAATTTACAATATACGTTTGTTTTTCCAGGTGCATCTGGTATTAGATCTAAGGACCGAAACAAAACTGGAGTCATCATCATCATCCCACTTACTTCATTTTGACCCAGCCCATAATCTAGTCTAACATAAGATGCAGATTTTTAGGGTCCCACTCAAATGTTTTGCTGGATATTGGCTTCATGCATTATTTGGATTTGTTTTCAATTCAATAAAGCCTTTTTTAAATAAATAAAATCAAATCCTTGGACATGCCGACTAAGTCATGATTTATCATATAATATGATTTAAGTCATATTAAACAACTTTTACTTTCTCCAAGTCAAACTGAAAATATTAAAAGTTTTGATATAATTAATTTATATATGAGATTTATGTTTTATGTCGGTGAATTGGGCATTTTGTCCATACTTTAAATAATTGACAGTTGGGACATTGTAGGCCATGCAATTCATTAAAGTTTAAAGCTAACCACTTTACTGATAAATATTATTTTTTAACAAATTAATATGACATATAATCTCTTTTAATTTTATTTTGTAATGTTATTTGATATTCATACTTTTTGTTCATTTTTTTAGGTTTCAACATGTTAATTCAAACTTCTTTACTTGGTAAACGAAAAAGCTTAGAGAAGGAGATGAATCTACCTTCTGACTCATCGAAAAAATCGTCGACTCCGGATTTGATTGGAAGTAATCAAATTCAATCCCTAATTGCTGATACTGAGGAAGAAATGAATGAAGAAAATGGCCCCCTTAATGATGTTGACAGTTGCAGCAACACTGTAAGGACAAAATCAGTTGTATGGCAACATTTCAAGAAAGTTAAAGTTGATGGCAAGGATAAAGCAGAGTGTAACTATTGTCGTAAGCAACTTGCTGGTGGTTCCAAAAATGGGACAAGGCACTTGCATGCACATATTAAAATTTGTCCAAGGCGAAAGTATGGAGATGTATCACAGAAGATTCCGTCGATAACCCCGGGAGAGGATTCAAGTTCAAAGTCACAAATGACCTTAACTTTGCATCAGCTTGATCAAGAGTCGGTGAGGAAGGACCTAGCAATGATGATTGTTCTGGATGAAATCCTTTGAGCATGGTTGATCATTATGGGTTTAGAAAATTTTGTAATAACATGCAACCGTTGTTTAAGGTTATGAGTAGAAACACTATTAAGAAAGACATATTCAAGATGTATGATGTAGAAAAAGAGAAGACAATGAAATTGTTAAACAAAAACCGGAGTAGGATTGCTATCACTTCGGATTTGTGGACTGCCAGCAATCAAAACAAAGGATATATGATGATCACAGTGCACTTTATCGACAACAACTGGGTCTTACAAAGTCGACTCATAAGGTATTATCTTTTAAGGTTTAAAAATAATAATTTTTAAAAAAAATTTTAAAAATAAAATAAAAAAAATTTTTTATGTATAATTAATGTTACAGATTTGTATATGTGCCTTGCCCACAGACAAGAGATGTGCTTGCTGCGGCATTGATGGACTGCTTTTATGAGTGGAATATTGATAGAAAGTTGTCGACATTGACGCTTGATAACTATTCCACCAATGATGCAGTTGTTGAAGATATCTTGAACGAACTTCCAAGTGCCTCACTTATGTTACGTGGTTCATTGTTTCATATGCGTTGTTGTGCGCATATTCTGAATCTAATTGTTCAAGATGGATTATCGGTGATTGGACAAGCAATTGCAAGAATCCATGAGGCGTTGCTTATTGGTCAGCATCTCCTAAAAGAGAGCAAAAATTTGTTGAAGCAGCACGCCAAGAAGGCATTGAAAGTACAAAGAAGTTGGCTCTTGACTGTAAGACTCGTTGGAACTCAACTTATTTAATGCTTGAAACTGCTTTCATTTACAAAGATGTGTTTTTTCGTTTAAAGCTTCGCGAGCCACAATATAGATGTTTGCCAACTGAGGAGGAATGGGAGTTGGCAGAACAAGTTTGTTCAAAGTTGAAAATATTTTATGTTGCCACAAACTTGTTCTCTGGAACAAAATATCCGACATCTAATATTTATTTCCCAGAAGTTTGTGAAATTAGAATTGCATTGTCTAATTGGCTCAGATGTGGGAATGATTTGATAAGGAATATGGTAGCAAAAATGCTTAAAAAATTTAACAAGTATTGGGATGTGATTAACGGTGTCTTGGGGGTAGCGAGTCTTTTAGATCCTAGATACAAAATGAAATCGTTAGATTATTTTTTTCCTCGGATCTATGGAGTTGATGGTAAATATCATATTCTGAGAATTCAAGGATTATTATGAGATTTATTTAATCAGTACCAATCGTCCTCCCAATGTATCACCTTCTTTGCAGACTAATATTCCTTGTAGTGAGGACGATGGGTCCGTTAGTGGCTTTGAGATGTATATTGCACAAGAATCAAATGTTGTTGAAGGAAAGTCAGAACTAGATTTTTATTTAGAGGAGAAACTTTTGCCTGGGACTCCTAACTTTGACATATTGGTTTGGTGGAAGACAACTGGGCCTAAATATCCAATCCTCTCTTCTATTGTTCGAGACATCCTTGCTATTCCTGTCTCCACAGTGGCTTCTGAATCTATATTTAGCACGGGTGGGAAGGTAGTAAGCCCACATCGCAACAAACTTCATTCAGATACATTAGAAGCATTGATGTGTATTAAAAATTGGTTACGCGCAGATATAAAAGGTGATTATATCAAAATTTTATTTTTTTAACATATTTGTCTTATTGTCTTTAATATATATTTTTTAGTTCTTTAACGTATTTGTCTTATTATCTTTAATACATTATATTTTGCATTCTTATTAGGTCAACAATCATGCTCGACATTTTTTGATGACACTGATGAGGAAGAAGAGGAATTATAATGACAAAGAATAGGTATGCAATTGGTTAGATATTTAGTCTTTCATGTGTTACATGCTTCTTATGTATTTTATAATTGTAGAGAGGCGGACTTACCTGACTGGAGCTTGCAAAACTTAAAGAGACAACAACTTAGAAATTTGTGATAGATTTTATTGTTTTGTATTTGTTCAGATTTTACTGTCTCAATTTGCTTGTTGCTTTTATGGTTATGTTATACTCTAAAAATGGATGAATGCACTTTATCGAATATTATTTATATATTTGGTAAGTATTCAAAAATAAATTAACATTTAAAAACTGTTTCTAAAATTAAAAATATAAAAATAATTGACATTATAAAAAAATGCGGGCTTGGGTCTGGCCTGCAGTCATAAAAAGCCCGTCGGGCCAGGCCTGGACTTTGCTTATCATACCCGCGGTGGGCTTGGGCCTGGGCCAAGGGGTACTCGGTCCCGGCCCGGCCCATTGCCATCACTATCGGTAAAGGAGCCGAGCCGACTGGGTACTGGAATTTTGGGCACTAACTACCCACATCTACTCAAAAAGAATGTTCCTAGTTTTGTCGAAATCAGGATACCAAAGAGCTACGAGAGGGTCGACTGTGAGGCGAAAAGATGGATGAGCATATACGAGATATGGTTCCATGATGGTTTATGCCTTCCTATACCTCGACTCATCTGGTAGGTGTTGAATCATTTCATGATCGTACCAACACAGATTATGCCGAATGGGCGGAGATTATTGTTAAGGTGTGGTGCATTTAGAACCAAGTGATGTTCGGTTTGCACGAGTTGCTGCATTCTTACTATCTTAAGGAGCATCACCCTTAGGCACGACTGAATCCGCTTGGTGACCAACCTGAGGTCAAGTGACAAGAACTTGAAGGAAGCGATTCTTTTTTATGAAGGGCGAGGCCGTATTCGACGAGAGAGGCCAAGGTGAGATACCTTACACATGGAGAGCCACGGGGGTGAGAGATTGATTCTCATCTATTCTTGTGATTACTAAGTCTTATTCTCCGTTTATTTTGAAAATCTCGACTTCAACCGAGCTAGTCAGAGTGGAGACGGCTTGGACGTGATGACGAGGGAGTTTCTCGCCATTCCAAAGGAACAGAGAGATTGGACAGTGATCTTGAAAGAGTCTAACCCAGAGAACAATCATTTGTGGGTGGGAGTTGAGGTTGTTCAGAGAGGTACTCTATTTGCCTCATCGAAGCAAGTATAGGACGTGCTGCTGATTCACTACAACAACCATATACTATACAGGCATTTGTTTCTTCATCCACTAACACCTAAGGAGTTTGTTATTGCAGAGAGGCAGAGAGGCTAATGAGGAATCTCAAAGTGGACATATTGAATGCAAGTGACGTGGCCACACAATATAGAGCCAAGAGGAAAAGGGAATCAGCCCGAGGAATGTCCCAGTCCAATAGACCTAGTTGATTCCTCCCGCGGGTCAGTCGTCGGTGAGACCCTAGTTATTGAAAGAGGTCCAGTTTGATGAGGACAAGAAAGTGATGATCACTCTCCCAAATACAACCTCGGTTTATTCTGACACGGTCGGGATGGGGTAGTTGGTAGACTCATTTTTGCTTCTTGCCAATAAGACTCATATGAATCAAATGGGAACGACTGCAGCGGCCAATTGGGCGATGACTCGACAACTTCAGGTATATCTTGACTTTGAATATTTTTGCCAAGCTATAAAGTCTAATCGCATGCTTTTGTGCAGGCTTTGAGTGGGAGCCTTTATCTAACGAAGGTCACGGTTTCCCAAGATGCGAAGATCCAAGTGTTGACAAGTCGAACACTGGTCTGAAAAACAGCAAGGCTCAGGTGCTAAAAAATGCAAAGGAGAGCTTTAGAAACCAGAGTCCGGCTGAGTTGGAGTCAGCCTAACTGAAAAAGGCGTTGGCCGAAGCTGAGAGGGCGCCCTTTCTGTTAGTAAACGGTCCCATATACGCAGCGGAAACAAAACAAATAATTCAGGGATCGTTTACATGAGCCAAGATCAACGGTATAATTTTACAATTTATATTAAATAAAACCTGCAGAAAAATAAATCTGAGTTTAAAGAAAACAAACGCAGGTTGGAGGCTCCTCCAAATTTGTCGACGAATGTTTTGCTATCAATCCGAGTGTAGGATCGAACATGCGTAATCCACACGAAGACAATCTCAAAAAGAACCAAAGAGGGATTTGCTAGATCCTCTTTGGCTTCATGATTAAGAAGAAAGCAAATCAAAAGGAATTTGTTTTAGGCTAAAACCCAAAACTGGCGTGGGAGGAGATGGGGCTGCTGTGTGTGTTTTTAATTTCAAGAGAAATCAATTCATCATATTCATTAACACACACTTTTCCCTTTATATTTAATTAAGTTGCCCTAATCCCATATGGAATAGGCTTGGGCTCCAACCCAAACGCCCCACGTAGCCAAACACTCCCAATTTGATTCATTTTATTTTCCATCATTATCTCAATTAAAATCAATTAATATATATATATTTAAATATATATTAACATTTAACAATAATGATAATATATTTAAATATATGCGAACACACATTTAAACGTAATTTCGCTTATTTAATTTTTCAAATAAATTAAATAAAGGCTACGACCTCAGCAAATTTAATTGCACTATGAAATTACCAAAATACCCTTTTGCCTTAAAAGACGAAAACGCCCTTCTTTCTTCTTGGATCTTAAATTATCTTTTATGTGTGTGACCCATAGGCTCCTCATCATACCGGTAGTGTATAGTATCGCCATTAACACCAATTAATCGTCTCACTAATACACAAACCAAGATTAGCTCCTAGCAAGGCATCATGGCCACCCGATAGATTCGGATTCAGCAAAGTAGCTACGTGTCAATGATATGGTTACCGTGCAATTTGATCCTTTCATCATACGTTATCTCGATGAGACGAAGGCATAGAAATAGAGTCAACCTTCAGTTACTCTCGATATTATTTATTCAGCTTCTGGACCAATGACCCGTATTATAAAATGGATAGAGCAACAACTCAATCCCACTGTGGCCACAGTTTTAGTGTCATTGCCATATACTGAATTGCGCCTTGAGATAACTTTCTCCCATACCCGGGAGTGATGAATCCTCTGTCAATCCACCATAGTCTTGGTACACTCCTTGATGTAGCCAATCACCACCGTATTAACAGCTCTGAAAAGAACTGCGTTAGGC